TACAAGTTACTAAAAACTGTAAAATTGTATATAAAAAGACTTGAATGAATATTTACAGTATTTTACAACTTTTCCTTGATTTAACGACGTTGTTGATTAATAGAAGGCGAAAAGTAAAAAAACATTTTTGCTAAATTTGAACTATTTAAAAAAATAGTTAGCAATAAAAGTCAAGAACTAATTTCAAACTAAAACTAATTTCAAGGTCATAAAATTCGCCGTTAAGTTTGAATAAGTGCTATTAAGACTTGAGTCTTAACCTTGCTAGTGCACTTTTGACTTTATAAATCAATAAATTAAAAAGTTATGCTATACTTTAAAATGGTTTAAACTTATACCGTATTTTTTAACCAATACTACCTGGTGGACGATTTGCGTGTGTGTGTTATTTTGTAAGTACCATACGAAATTAATTTATTACTATTTTACTGAATATTCAGATCAAATGTGTTTTCTAATTTCATTTTTAAATAAGTTATTATAATCTAACACAGCTAGTGCGTTTATAACACGTACCTTTTAAAAAATGTTTTAAAATGCAATCTTTATACATAAAAATCTTCTTATCTTTTTTCAAATTTTATATACAGTCTTTACACATAAAAATCTTTGTTTCATAAGAACACTCTACCAAAATAAACACAATAAAATTTGTTAATCTAAAAAAGATTTTATATTTTGTCTTTGTGAATATTTTCACCGAAGTTAAGAGAAGTAGAAGTTAGAAATATGTTATACACAAGCTCAAAACTCAGGCTAACTCATAAAAAATGACTTTACAAAAAAAGTAATTGTGATTTTTTTCAACAAAAATGCATAAATGATTTATATTTTTTTCCAAAACCAAAAAAATTTTAAATTCTATAACAAACCTTTAGTTTACACCCTTTAGCAATTAATTGGTATACCAATCAATTGGTATACCAATCAACTTTATTTTCTATAGAAAATAAAAATTGATAACAAATAAAGTTTTACAGCACTAGATTTATAATATTTCAGTTTTTTAATGGATGGCTTTATACAAAATTTAAAATTGTTTTTTTTCTTCCCGCGGACAGTGTTTGACAGAATTTCAGGACAGTATTTTCGGTATATATATACATGGGTCATGACATCATAAATGATAAAAAATTAATTAATTTTTAATGAAAAAATCTATGAGTTTGCAGTTGAGTTAATTACGCTTTTACAAGAATTTAAATTTTAAATGATTTTGTTCATGTAATTTTTAAAAAAAAATGACCATTGGGGAATATCTCATTATACTTTTTAAAATACAGTCTTATATCTAATATAGTTTATACTCACAATAAAACCGTTAAAAACTGTATAAAACAAAAATATCGCAAAGTTGTTTACTAATAATTTTTATATAAACAAAAAAACCTTGCAATATAAAGTTTGCTTTAATATAAAACAACCTTGCCATTTTATTTCCTTGATGTTTTATACAGTTTTTAACACTTAAAACATAAAACGAGTTTATAATAAAACTGTTTAATAGTCATAAATTAAAAAAAAAAAAAAAATTTTATGGTGTTCTTGTATCTAAAAATGAATAAATATTTACAAAATTACGAATAATGAAGGGGTTTATCCCTAATTAATTTTTTTGTCATAGAGTTTGAGTACAACTGTTTGCTCTCGCTCGCCGATAGCAAACAGCATATTTGTTTGTTCAACAGCTGATTTGTTTGATAGCAAACAGCATATTTGTTTGTTCAACAGCTGATTTGTTTGATAGCAAACAGCATATTTGTTTGTTCAACAGCTGATTTGTTTGATAGCAAACAGCATATTTGTTTGTTCAGCAGCTGATTTGTTTGATAGCAAACAGCATATTTGTTTGTTCAACAGCTGATTTGTTTGATAGCAAACAGCATATTTGTTTGTTCAACAGCTGATTTGTTTGATAGCAAACAGCATATTTGTTTGTTCAACAGCTGATTTGTTTGATAGCAAACAGCATATTTGTTTGTTCAACAGCTGATTTGTTTGATAGCAAACAGCATATTTGTTTGTTCAACAGCTGATTTGTTTGATAGATAGCTCTTGTTCTCCGATTGCAAACAGCTGATTTGTGGTTTTCTCTCGCTTGCCGATAGCAAACAATCAACAATAGCAAACAGCTCATTCATTGTTGAAATCGAGGAATGCTTTCACAAGAACAAGATGCTGAATTAAAAGATAAGAAAAAGAAAAAAACCAATTGAGAACAGCAGTTGAATAAAAAGAGAGCTGACATGAAAGAGAACTGAAGAAAAGAAAATTGAAATCTTTGTTTGAAGATAATCTAGAATTACGCATACCTCAGAGAATGTCAGAGAAAGTCCTGGTAGGCCTAGAATTGAACAAAATCAGTCTTTACTGATTTTGTTCAATTCTAGGAAGTGCATTTAATAGAGTTGAAAGAAAAATAGCACTAATTAGTAAGGAGCTTGCTGAATTTATATTACCACATGACCACTATAGTAGCTATCTAAACGAGAGAGTGTTACAATCAATGTCAGTTTTGAGAAGTCAAACTTTAAGTTTCCAAGGACCACTCTTGCTGAAATTTATTTAGGCTTGATTGTCAATAATTTCTAACAGTGGCAGAGTACATTGAGCCCACAGAGTATGAGTTACATGAACAACTCTTTTTGTCAAAGGATAACAAGTGGTATTATAGTCACTGAAAGAAAAAGTCTTAAAATTCCAGAACGAACAACGAACCCAGCATGCTATCAATTTCTATCTTTATTTGCAGCACAAAGTTTAAAAGCAGACAACATCCATCCTCGCTCTTTAAATCTGTATCGATTGATTCCATACAACTTGTACTGTCCATTAATGCAATACAGCTTTGGAAAATGAATGAAGCTGGATTTACAAGTGTCCATAAAGCATGAAAAATAATTTCAACAAAAGACAAACAATAAGTTTCTAAAATAACTACTAAAAAAAAAGGTGCTGCAGTGACAAATGTTTAAATTGCAGGTGGTGCTTAAGTTCTGTTATTATTTATTTACCTCTGTAAACACATGACAGAAAAGCTGTCTGTAGCAATTTTAAGCTCAAGTATTAGAGTTCATTAAGTGATTAATAACAATTTTGTTACTTTTATTATGGATTTAAAACTAATGAGTTATTATTTGTTCTTGATGGTCATCACTTTTAAAACACTTGATGTTATTTTGAACTTTTGAGGCAGAAATGGAACTCTTCTTAATCACATAACTCTTATACTTTATATCACACACAAGCTACAGCCTTTTGACAGTATATTTTTTAAACCATTGAAAGTTAACTACAATACAGCAGAAAGTAACTGAGTATTTTAATATAATACGATATCCACATCCTGGATACAGAATATTGTATTATATTATTTATTTGCTGTGTTATATTATTTATTTATTGGCTAATAATTAATGATGAATTAGGATAATAATTAATAATGAATTACTATTTAAAGACAATTTCAATGAAATTAATGGCAATATTTACATTTATGTTATTAAAGCGTAAAAAGTTTTCAAAAACTGGTAATAGTTATTATTTATAAAAAACGTTAGTTTTTTTTATAAACTTTTACTAATTTGTTACTGCTGAGGGAAGATGCAAATCTGGTAGCATTTTATCACAATACTGGGTCAAGAGGTCCACTTCTTTGTGTTTAGTTGTTTAAGTTTATTACTAGTTGCAAAATATATTTTTCATTTTACCGATGACTTCTTTCATAATTAAACGTTGGTTTTACAAGAAATGGAAAAAGATTTTACAAGAAATGAAAAGGTGAAGAAATTGTAAAAGGACTTTTTATATGCAAATAAATTTTTTAAATGGGGTATCTTGCTTCACCCTACCCTAATTTACTCTTTCTCTTTATCATATGATCAATAATTTCTAATTTGATGATTGAATATTAAAACAGAGATACTTTTAACCAATGTGCTCATTCTTGTTATATAATCAAGGTTATAATCTTTATGGATTTCTAAATCATATTCATCTTTTAAATCATATTCATCTTTTAAATCATATTCATCAAATCATATATAATCACGTCTCCTTTCCTACCGATGTCGCAAAACTCGCCCAGAGGTGGGGTTTGAACCACGGATCTAACTTTTCTGAGGTAAGTGCGCTACCACTGCGCTTGACGGCTGCTTGATCGGGATGCTTAACACTCTTGTATTCTACTACAGCATTGTAAGTTATAACTGACAATACTAAAACGATTAGTTGGTGTATGTTCACTTTACTGCGTCTATCCCTGATTAAATCAGTCATTTTAATAAAAAATTGCAGCGCGTTTAAATGAATCAGCCAATGTATGCATGCCTATTTATAAATAAACCATAAAAGTAAACTGGAACCTCTTTATCGTCAACAGAAACATGTTACACGCCTTATTAATTTTCAGGATCAATTAACTCATGCCAAGCCTCAATTAATTGAAATGAAAGTTTTAAATATATATGAGCTTAATATTTTTAACGTTATATGCTCTATGTTTAAATGTAAAAACAATATTTCTCCTGTACATTTTCATAATTTGTATAACAAAAAACAAAAAAACTAAGTACATTTTACGAAATGATAATGACATTCGTCAATCAGCTTATCAATAATTCTGGAAATTACTGTATTTCATTTCGAGGAGCATTACTTTGGAATAAAATAGTTTTAAAGAATTTTGTTTTTTCTCAAGAAGTTAGCTATCACTCTTTCAAACAAAAACTTAAGTCATTTTTTTATTAGATCATATATCTATATATTTTTTAGCAGCTCTTGATGACAAGACCTTACGGTCTTGTCGTCGAGATATAGATATATCTAGATAGATATATAGACACTTGTACGATCTTGTCGAAACTTGTACGGTCGAAACTTGTACGGTCGAAACTTGTACGGTCGAAACTTGTACGGTCTTGACGACAAGACCTTACGGTCTTGCTATCGAGAAACTTTTGTTATTACCCGGATTAAACATGTTTTTTTGATCCGGTTGTTTAGTTCCGAACAACTAAGTTTAGAAAAATAAAAGGTATCCATTAAGATATACTTAAAAATGGATGAAAATGATGAATTACAAAATTTATTTCTATGGGTCCGTGATCGACTTGATTCAAGAAATGATAAAAGAGAAAAGATACTCAAGTTTAGTCGTGATATAACAAATGAAAGTAAAAAAGTCATTTTTAGTTTACTCCGTAAAGGCATTCCTACTGAAATGTTACTTAGTGAAGCAGAGATAAAATTGCAGTTTTTAAAAAAGCTTCTAAGTTATATATCCGAAGAACTAAAAGAAGAAGATGCATATATGTTTCATAAATCATTTTCTTTTGGAGTTCAAGAGTTTATTGAGGCTGTTTCACTTTATTTCTTTATTAAAAATGAAACATTAATCGAATTTGACAATGTTTGTAACCAGTATTTTATTTTTCACGGCTCAAAGTCTTTTTTATTTCCACAAGACTATCTTGGGGGAATCGCAGATTTAACAGGTGAACTTATGCGAGTTGCAGTGAACAGTTTGGGAGTGGATGACAATTTAAATATTACCAAGATATGTGAGTTTGCCAGATTGGTATATAAACAATTTTCTGTATTTGTTAGTTTGGATCCTGAGTTATTTAGGAAAGTTTGTGTTATGAAAAGCAGTTTAATAAAAATTGAAAATACTATTTATATTTTGAAAGTCAGAGGAGCAGAATTATCAGAAAACTTTACTCCAACCAGTTTCCAATTTGAAATGGAATGTCCTGAAAATGATATTTGATTCTAATTTTAATAGAATTTATAAAGTAACCTATAGAGAAATTGAGTAAAAATATACGTTTTTTATTTAACAATCTTTTAGAGTAGGTAAAAAAAAGGAAAATTAAGTTATATAGACATTTGAAGTAGCTAATAATTGGATTGATCTGTGCTATTTTCAACTACTTAAAAATAATGGCAATCGGTTAACCTACTTTTTAAAACAATAATAAATAGGCTTGACTTATTATATCAAATTCTTGAAATTTTATTTTAGAAAATGTACAAATAATTTATTATCAGTTTTGTGTGATAAACCTTAAACAGCTTAAACACCAATGAGAGATTTTTTTCGTAAAACAATTTTCAGTGTGAACTACATACATTTTTATTACAATAAAGTAATAATGTTTACTATGTACTGTAATGGTTGATTTTAGATGGTTGATGATATTTTTCTCAATTAAATCAAATTAAAAATACTGCTATCACTTAATTTTAAGTTAAATAAAGGAAATATTACACATATTATCTGGTCATATTATGTTTTATATCATATTTTATATCATATTATGTAAATACCCAAAAATATTTTCTTAAGGACAAATTTAAAATCTATTAATAAAATGAAATTTATAAAATTTAAAACCTGTCAATAAAAATAAAAAATCTATTAGTGTTCAAAAATAATGGCCATGTAATGTTTTCACCCTTCATAAGTTGACGTATTTTTTTATGGCTATTAGTTTCACACAACCATAACTTTCGATCATTAAAAGATTATCCTTTCTTATAAGATATTTGAGGGCTAAGGATTTAAACATTTATTTTTAAAACAACAAGTGTTATTCTTAAATAATATGTGCCTCTTAATATAATTAACAAAAACACTTTTAAAAGACAAAAAAAATAATTAAAACTCTTTTGAACTTTTTATTTTTATTGGAAATTTATAGAAGTCTATGGAAATTAGAGAACTTTAAATAAAGTTTATTTTTAAAAAGTTATATTGAAAACACTAAATATTAGTTTTCTAAAATCACTAAAACTGATAAAAATGCAATTGATTTTATATATTTTTGGCTAAGTTAATTCTGAAATCCTGCAAAGTATCTCAAGTCTTATGTATCAATTTTAGTCGGTTTAAAAATTAAAAATGACAAATTCTTTTGACAATAAACAGCTATTATTATGGAGCGTTTTTGAAATTATTGGAAAATTTAAAAATCTTCTTACTATACACTCACCAAGAATAATTTATGTGGATATATATATATATATATATATATATATATATATATATATATATATATATATATATATATATATATACAGGGCTGTTCCTAAGAGATTTTAAAGAGGAGGGGGGGGTGTGTGCCGTGTTTGTTTTTTGTAAATATTTTTTCCCACTCACTTTTTTTTTTCATTTTTATACGCAGGGCCAGCGACATGGGTTTTAAGGTGGGGGGGGGGGCACAATTATCAATTTGTAAAAAAATTTTTCTTAAAAAAAAAAAAAAGTCTTATTAAGTATCTTTAACAGATAACATCAAGTTTAACTTCATTGCTGCCCCCCCCCACCTTCCCGGTGTCGTCGGCCCTGATATGTTAATAAGAAAACATGTTTTAGCATGTCAAATCTAAAATTAATGTTTTTACAAAAAGTAAACTAAGAGACTATAATGTGTATCTGGGTGTACCGTTATTTATTTCATAACCAGGCATACACACTCATACATCAAGTGTTACACT